CTCTCTCTCTCTCTCTCTCTCTCTCTCTCTCTCTCTCTCTCTCTCTCTCTCTCTCTCTTTCTCTCTCTCTCTCTCTCTGCGACTTTCAAATCGCAAAGCGGGAATGAATCTTCCCGCAAAAGTGGGAAGATTCATTCCCGCTTTGCCTTTCGGAAGCCTTCCTACAGCAGGCAGCAGGAATGAACCATTTATTTTTCTTATTTCTTTGTTTTTTTTCTTTGTTTTCTTCCCGTTTTTTTTGTCTGTCTCACATGGACGTTGGGGATGCCTGCGCCCGGTAGTCCGAGCCTCGGCACGGATCGGCGTACCGGTCGGCCGAGGCTTGGACTTGATAGCTGAGCGAGGTACTGGTGGTTTAAGCAGTTTATTCAGACTGAGGTTCAAACTCAATAGTCTAACACCCATTCTAAGCTACTAACATTCCAACAAGAGAAGGATATTCACAATAGAATTCAACAATTCTCAAAAGACTGGTTGGGGAGAGTTAATGGAGGGGGGGTGGGTCATGTGTCTCTTGCCCCCTTCCAGAGGAATTTTCAACTCATTTTTTCTTAATGGATGACGATTCAACAAGAGCTCATTTGAGGCCCCTCAAAAGCCTTCTCAGATTTATTCCCGCCTTCAGGTATGGCAGTAGTGGACAACCAATGGTTTGGACATGCATCCTAAGTCCGAAGACAAGAGTGATTGCTATTGGCTGGAAATGTATGGTTATATCTGGCGGTACTCAAAGGTCTTAAACCACAAGTACATGCCCCCAGCCTTACAATCGGAAACTTGTCGCCATAAGAAAACGAGGCCGAAACGTGAAACGCTGGGCCCGCCCTTGATAAATTCGATCGGCGGCCTCTTTCTCGTTTTGCGCCTCCAAAATTTCAGGTGTCAGACCCACGGCCCAGGTGCCCATGTACTGGTGCTTTAAGGGGCAGCCATCAACTCACTTGTCAAATGATTATTTTTTCCAACAAGACATTATTCTCGTTGTATAAGGGACGCTAGACCTGCTTTCCAGCGAGTTCTGCTCCTGAGTCCCCACCAATAAATCGAAGCAACTTTATTTAAAAAAAAAAAAAGCAAGTACTTCAGCCCAAATCCCAACACCACCCCTTCAAGAATGGCGAGGCCACAACCACCCATTGTTAATCTCGAAATGGCGGGCCACTCTCTCCAGCCACATCAAGCTAGACAATGATGTGTCTCACGAGGTCTAGGAGAGCCGTCTCCCAGGCCGCCCAGGGTGT